ATCCTTCAGCACCACTTATCATTCCCAGACAGATGGTCAGTTAGAACGTATGATACAGACATTGGAAGACATGTTGCGTGCTTGCGTTCTTAACTTTGGTGATAACTAGTATGAGTATCTTCCTTTTTGTTAATTCTCTTATAATAACAGTTATTATTTCAGTATCGGTATGGCCCCGTATGAAGCTTTGTATGGAAGGTCATGTCGTTCCCTAACTTGCTGGAGTGAAGTCGAGAACTAGTGCCACTTAAGACCAGACTTCATTTAGAAGACCATCGAAAAGGTCACAATCATCCACAAGAATTTGACAACTGCCCAGAGCCATCAAAAAAATTACGCCGACAATCATAGGTAACCCTTGGAGTTTGTCGTAAGAGATCAAGTTTTCTTGAAAGTCTACGCCTACAAAGGCAACATGTGATTTGGGAAGAGAGGGAAGTTGAGCCCTCGTTATGTGGAACCCTTTTCGATCATAGAGTGCATTGGACTCGTGACATACTGCATCACTCTATCCTCAGAGTTCGCGGGTCTGCATGATGTCTTTTTGTCTCGATGCTCAAGAGATACTACTCTGATACTTCTCATATTATTTCTCGCAATGAGGTGTAGGTACAGGCTAACATGACTTCTGAAGAGGTTCTTATGGAGATTCTTGAGTGGACCGATAAGGTCTTTCGTAACAAGACAATTCTCATGGTGAAGGTATGATGGTAGCATCATACCCCAAAAGAAGCAACGTGGGAGTTGGAGGATGAAATGAGGAAAAAGTATCCAAACATATTTGAGATAAATTTGGAGACCAAATTTTTTGAAGGTGGGGGGACGTAACACCCCATCCATCACTGTGCTTAAATAATTTAGAAACCCTATTTATTCGAGCATTTGGCCACGTTAAACTTAATTAATTTACGATGTTTAATATTTATCGTATTATGTAATTTTTGTTTATTTTTATTTATTTTGCTTTTTATTTTATTTTATTTAATTTTAAGTCTAGCTCATTTAAACTAATTATAAAAATTGAAAGAAAAATGGCGAATTGGGAAGAAAATCTCGTGGGAAAAAGCCCGCAGGGAGAGAAGTTGCCCGCGTGGATGCTGGGCACTGTGGGCGCGCGTATACGCGCACAGTAGCAACTGGACGTGCGCATAGCATGCATGTCCCCTCTGTACACACGGGGCGGGGTCAGGACCTGCGCGTGCACAGGCGTCGCACACTTTGCACGCGCCGTTCACGCAGTAGGCCTGCACGGATAGGCCCTATGCATTTTGGGCCTGTATGCACGACGCCCAGTGAACCTAAACCCTGAGTGTAAGGCAGGAGGCCTGTGCGCCTGTAAGCTAGCCTACAGAACACCGGCCGGGGCATTGCCACCTCGAGCAGTACATCGTCGCTGTCTCGGGAGGTACGCCGCCGCTGCTAGTGGAGGAGACCCTTCTCCCTCGCTTTTTGTGTTGAGCATCTTTTTCTCCTATCTCTTCACTGGATTTTGCTACTTGGCACAAATTTGACGGTTCTAAAATTTTATAAATTATCCTTCCCCTTCCCTTCCTCTCCACACTTTCATCTTTCTATTTTTCAAAGATTTAAAGAGAGAGAGAGAGAGAGAGTAGTTTGGTGAGAGAAGAAAAGAAAGAAAGGAAAACAGTGAAGAAAAAAATATCGAAATTTTGGTAAGGAATCTAGTATTTCTTTTGACGTCTTAAGGAGTATTTTTAGATAAAGTAATTTAATATGATTGTTATTTTACCTGTTTTGTATGCCTCTGTGTTCAGATGAGTCGAAGTGTTCTTGTTTTCAAGCAATGTACGTGAAGTGCAGACACTTGATGAATTTGTGTGTAATAAATATAATTTATAATAGGTAAAAGTAAGAAGTATAAAAGAAAAAAAAAGAAAAAAGTTAAATGAAGCCTATATGATCTGAAGTGTTTCGTTAGTCTTTTTATCTTTAAGGGGTATCTGTTCCCCTTGCCCTTTGGGGTATTTTTTTCTCCCTCCCCTATCTAGTCTGAAAAGATGTAAGAAGACTGCATCTAGTGGATGACGATGTACCCTCTGATGAGAGTGGTATCGCATTCTCTGTAGGGGTCACCCATGGCTAAGTAATATTGTGACTGTAGATATCAGTTAGGGCCACTATGGCTGGTACGGTCGTGGTCATAGATCGTACCATAGTTTGGCCAGTTGGAAATAGGCCCGAGTAAATTATTGTATCTATATCTGATCTGCTCATTTTACTTGAGTAATTGAAAATCTGTATCTGCCATTAGAAATGAAAGTTCTAACGACTTCACGAGGCATGATACAAAAATATGAGTATTTTATGATTTATTTAATTTTTTCTATTATCTGGTATGATGTATGTTTAGTTATCTGTATTAACGTACTGTTTTTTTTAATAAAAAATAGTCTTTTATAATGTGAGATATTTAAACGATGAGGGTAAATGGTAACTTAAAATAATTAACTTTTGAAATCTTATGATTTTATTTAATACTGTTTTCCTTACTGATCATATGGAATTCACTCTTTCCATGCTTCCCCACCTAGATGAGGAAGAAAGTGAGGAACCACAAGCTGACCTACCATTGGAAGTCTATGAGGATCCCATTGATCAACAAGTCTGAGTGCATGACTGTCCCACACTCTAATGAGTCTAATAGTATAGTGGAAGAAGTAGTCCTTATGTTATGTTTTCTATTGTGCAGCCACTTTTGGTCTCAGTATATGTATATATTGGAACTCATATGTATTTATAAGGGATTTGTAATAATTTTGTTCCGCTACATAAATTTTATCATGCACTCGTTATTTTGAATCTGTATCTGATATCCATTTGCCTTAATTAGCACTTGAGATATCACAAATAACAAGAACACTAGTAAAATCATTTAGAAAGGAAAATGATAATTTGAAAACTTTATTTGATATATAATTTTAGTTTCTTTTAATGAATTCCATTATCATATGATTGCATGTGTTGTATACTGCATGCCTAGAGCATAGGAGACTAATTATTCTTATTGAGCATGTGAAACTCATTAAATTCTATTCTGGTATATTTTAGATAAGGAGAGATCAGGATCAATTTCAAGAACATGGGAGTCTTGGAGGAAACCTTCCAACTTTGGTTCAAATTTTGTATAGTAAAATAGAAATAAATAGAGAGACTATTTATAAAAATGCCTCATGTATTTTTATTTTAAAGTAATTATTAGGTCACAAGGGCTGTATATAAAATTATAAATTTGTTGCATGTTGGTTCAACTAGGTGGATATAGTGTGCAAGTGTCCGTACTCACCCAAATGGGGTTGGGACTTTACACCAACAGTCAAGTAAATATTATCGGAGAGGAAGAGGAAGAGGCAATAATAGAGGGTCTAAGAAGTCAAATGTTGAACATTATAAATGTCACAGATATAACAATTATGCTTGGGCATGTTGTGATATATCAAACGAAAAGGAGGAGCAAGTTAATCTTGTTAATAATAAACAAGATGAAGAGAAAATAGGTTATTATTGGTGCAAAAAGATGGAGATCATGATGACCATAGTTCGTGGTACTTAGACAATGAAGCAAGCAATCACATGTGTGCCTACAAAGAAACATTTATAGAGCCTCATGAGAAGATCAAAATTAGTAATTATATTATACTATGTTTAGAAAATTATTATGATAAGCTAGTAATTTTGATTTCTTATATTTGATATATGAACTTATTATACTAATATGAATTAAAATTGATGAAGTTCATAATCATATCAATTAGGATTAAATATTGATATTGTGATGCTACTAAAAAAAATTAAATATTTTTAATAGGAGCATTATTTATATTTCTTATATTTGATACTTGGATGAAATTTTGAATTATATTAAATAAATATAAATTACAAAACAAATTTAGGTTATATATTAATATCTAAAATATAAATACTTAGAGTATAGTAGTAATGGTTATCATTATTTAGATTCCCCAAATATTATTATTTGAAAAACATAAGCATTAAAATTAGACTCAAAATATTAATTTCAATACTTTGAATATAAATGACTAAAAAACGTATTAATCAAGTAAATTTTCGAGATAGAGAGAATAGTAAGAAGAAAAATATAAAGAGCTACAAAAAAAAAATGTTTAAATTTATAGGTAATAACTTTAAAAGACAATAAATTTTTAATATTCTAAATTATGCAATTTGATATTTTTGGTTATAAAAATAATAAAACATAATAATAATTAATATTTATAAATGCAAAATTAATAAATTAATATTTTTGAAAGATAATCTTGCATATATTATTTTTATTATAACTAAATTTGATTTACTTATTTATTATTATATGGGATTTAAAAAAAAAAAAAAAACTAAACACTTACGTTGAAAAGCTATATAGTACACATAGAGACACATATGTATCACCAATAAAATACTGGCTAACCTTTGTATATATGAATACTGTTTTTTCAGTAAGCTTGTCATCCACTATTCGTTTGCTTTTCATAAAAGTACCATATCTTAACATCTAGTTTATTATGAGAATTATTTATATTTCTTATCTTAAATAAATATAAATTATAATACAAAATTATAGGTTATATATTAATATCTAAATGAGATATACTTGAATATAGTAGCAATATTTATCATCGATTTACATTCCCCATACAAAACCGTGCATGGTGCATCTAAATTTAGACATTTGACTAAACGCTTAAGACCAGGTTTTCCTTTATATAGTAAACTTGACTGGTCCCGTAAACATTTTACCCTCATATCTTTTATGCTATTAATTTCTACTACCCATAGAAATTATAATACTAAATTTCTGTACACGTTATAAAATCTGAAGAACATTGCTCATCTTTCAAAGTGTTAAAATGTCAAGTTTCTTTGATTATTATTTATTTTGCAATAACTTTAGGTACTACATTCTTGTGCTCATCTTACTCAGCAACACAAATAGGTTATGATGCAAATTCCCTTCATCATTGATGGTCACCACCGGGATTATTATCTCTGGTGCAATTCATTACCCTCGTAGCACCCCACAGGTATTGTATAATTATTGTCTAACTATCCAAAATCTCGATCATTTATTTGAAATTTATTTTTTTATTCAAAAAAATATGTAGTTCTAAATATTATCTCTATATTATATTACTCTTTAACACGTTGTACAGATGTGGCCAGATCTAATACAAAAAGCAAAAGATGGTGGTTTAGATGCTATCGAAACATACATATTTTGGAATATTCATGAGCCACGCCGTCGCCAGGTTTGAATTAATAAATATATATTTTACATATATGTATTAATATTTTATGTGTGTAAACTTGAAATTGGTTTAGTGGAACAAAAAACTTGAAATCTATTTAACTTTGCCATTTATTTATTTTGTGATGTTGTAGTACAATTTCACAGGCAACTTGGACTTTGTCAAGTTTTTTAAGCTAACGCACCAGGCTGGTCTATATGGAATTCTGCGAATTGGTCCTTATGCTTGTGCTGAATGGAATTTCGGGTAAAATTTTTGCAGTTTAAAAATTAAAATTATTAAAATATTCGTGATAAATTATATTTATGTTAATTGACAGGGGTTTTCCCGTTTGGCTAAAAAATATGCCAGGGATCGAGCTTAGGACTAATAACGAGATTTATAAGGTCATAATTGATATTCTTCTATATGAGCTCTTATAATTAATATTCTTCTATATGAACTTAGTTTTTAAAATAGTATTTTCACATTATGTTTTACTTTCATTGTTTTTATCCAGAATGAAATGAAAATTTTTACTACCAAGATTGTGAACATATGTAAGGATGCAATCTATTTGCCCCACAAGGAGGACCTATAATTCTAGCCCAGGTGCTTTTTTCAATATTACTACAGCTCTAGATTTCTTTTTTCTTTTTTTTTTCCAAACAAAATTTTATAATTAGTTAGCCATTGT